GGCATCCCACATGGGGTTCTCGCTGATGAGGTCGGAGGATCGCAACGAGTCGCCGACGCATCGCCGATGCACGCACGATACATGGGCGATGCGCGCGCGATTCAAAACAGGATAGATTCAAACAAGGCGAATTCAAACCGGATGATTCTCAATTGGACGTATTTACCCGATGAATTTGAATTGGACGAAATAAAACCAGATGAAATTATGCCGCGCGCATTAAACCCGATGAAAATAAAACGGGCGAATCAAAACCGGATTAATTTAAACTGGACGAAATACAACCGGACGAATTTAAACCGGACGGGCGAAATGAAACCAGATGCATTTAAATTGGGCGAATCTAAATTGGATGAGTTTACATAGGGCGAGTTAGAACCGGACGAAATTAAACGGACGAAATAATACCGGATGAATATTAAGTGGACGAGTTAAAACCGGACAGGCTCAATTGGGATAGGGTTGAATGGATCCAATGGACAACGTGAGTCACACAGAGGCACATAGAGGAAATTAAATCCGACACCAGACGAATTAAAACCAGATTATTTTAAACCGGAGGATTCAAAATTGGATGATTTGCTCCGGGCGAAATTCAATTGGATGAATTTAAACAGATAAAAATTATATGATAAAATCAAGCGGATGAAATTAAATTGATAAAACACAAACGGATTGTAATAAGTTCTGATGAAACAAAGGTGAATCTCCTTATGGGACCACGAAACGTGTGACGGGCGTGCCGAAACAGAAACATGCGGAGGGCAGAGGCAAGGAGAGGGAGGAGGAGATGGAGGAGGAGGAGGAGGAGGAGGAGGAGGAGGGGAGGAGAGGAGGAGAGACGCGGGGCACCATCTCTTCAAAACGAGGGAGGACCCAGCACCACAGGATGGTTGGGAAAGAGCAGCCTGGCGAAGGACCCGACCATGAGCAGTGATACGTACCGCAGTTGTGGGCACACCATCTTCGGTGGATCCTCCTATGCGGCCACGAAGCGTTGGAAAGGTGTGCCAAGTTGGCCCGTCGGCGACAGGTGGCCGCTTCCATTGGGGCTTTCGGTGGAGCTCCCCGTGGGGCGCACGAGACGTGCGAGGTGCGCCTGTCCGACCCCCCCGTGCGCGCCGCCGACCCCCAGTTCGCGGGGCCACCGCGCCGCCCCTCACCCACAGGGGGGGCCCATCGGTCGGCGAGGCGTCGTCGTCCTCGCCCTCGCCCTCGCCCTCGTCGTCGTCGTCGTCGTCGTTGTCGTCGTCGTCGTCGTCGTCGCCCTCCCCCCTCCTCGTCGTCGTCGTCGTCGTCGCCGTCGCCCTCGTCGCTGGAGGGGTGGGCCGGGCCCTGGGGACCGGGAGCCGCCACGAGACCTCTTGTCGCGGCGCCTGCACAGCGCGAGGCCCGGGCCACCCGCAGGGGGTGCGAAGGGTGGTCGCGCATCGCAGCCTGGGCCGTCGAGCTGGCATTCCCCACGGGCGCCGCGCGGGAGCGCAAGGCCGAGTGGCTCGGTGTTCCCAGCGCTTCTCGGCGCGGCGCGCCGTGCGCGAGGCGGAATGGCCTCGTGTTCCCTGGGCGCTCCGAGCGCTCCTCCGGGCGGCCGCGGCGCTGGGCAAAGGCCTATGGGACGTTGTCGACGGTTCTGGGGTTAGGGCGGGCATGTCCCCCTACAGGCGGATTTGGGTCGAAAAATTGAAGTAGTCAAACAATGATCAAAAAGTAGTCGAAAGATCGTCCCCACACTATGTTTTGATGATGTCTGAGTGTTCCTCCTGTAGAGGGACGGGCTCGATTTGACTCTTGGGGGGGGGGGGGGGGGGGGCGCTTCTTTCGAAGAACCGTCCCGAGCGTGCGCGCCAGAGGCCCGAGGCGTGGCCCGAAGGCCGGGCGCTCCTCGCGCTGCGGAGAAACCACGGCGGAGGGTTTCGGGCGCAACTCTCGGCCTCGGGGGGGAGGAGGAGGAGGAGGAGGAGGAGGAGGAGGAGGAGGAGGAGGAGGAGGAGGAGGAGGAGGAGGAAGCCCTGACTGGGCCCCGGGCCCGTCAAGAGCGGCTCGGGGTGAACAACGGGCCCCGCGGAAGGGTCCAGACTTCTGGGGTCCACCCTGGGCGCTCTTCGTCGTCATCCTCCTCCTACTCCTCCCCTCGCCGCCCTCTGCGTGCTCCTCCTGGGACCACCGGCTGGGGATCTGCCTCCTCCGTTGCTCCTCGCCCTTGGGCGGATGCGACAGAAGGGCTCGGTCTGCCTGGCTCTCGGCTCTGGGCCCGGTCACCGCATCTATGAGCGCGCGGCCCGTCCCGTCCCGTCCACTCCGCGGTGGTCGATGAGGAAGCGCAGAGTTAGCGTCGAAGAGCGGCGAGAAGCGTCGTGTAGCGTCGAGTCGCCGGAGCCAGCGAGATGTCATGAAAGGGCCCTATGAGTTGCCGCAGGTTTCCGATCATCGCAGCCGCCCTGGCTCAAGAGCTCGCTGGCTCGAGGCCTGGCGCGGTGCCGCCTCTGGCTCCCTCCCCCGCTCGGTGCTTTTCAAAGATGGGGTGCTGGTGCTGAGGGATGGGGTCCAACGAGGTACACCAGGCAGTGTAGATCCACCCTTGGATCCCTTCCTACCCTTAGGATTCAATCGGGCACATCCCTCCACAGGAGGAAGATCCAAAGATGGTCAAAAAGAAGATAGTCTGGGGACGATGCTCCGACCATTTTGTTGACTATCTCTGATCCCTCTCTGACTCTCGTTCCCCCTTCCTCCAACATCCGCCTGCAGAGGAGGGCACGCCCGACCTGCCCTCGGCACCCCGTCCCTCGGGACCACCTCCCTGCACCACCGGCCCGCGCCGCCGATGCTCGCTGCGCGGTGCCTGGCGCTGGCCGCCCTCGCGGGCGCGTGGGCGGGCGGCCCGGCCGCCGCGGCGCGGGGGGCAGCGGCCCCGGCGTGCGACGAGGGCGCCTGCGCGGCCGCGCAGGAGGACGGGGCAACCTCGCTGCTGCAGGCGCGCGCGGACGAGACTCGGGTCGGGCGTGTCCCCCTGTGGGAGGAGGCGCCAAAGAGAGTCAACAAAAACAGATAGTCTGCTCCGGGGGCGATTTCTCGACTGCGTGTCAGACTTTTGGAGTATGTTCTGACCATGTTCCATGTGTCCTCGAACATCCGCCCGTAAGAGGACATGCCCGACCTAAGACGAGAAGCGCCGGGCCTCGGGGAAGCAGGGGGCCCCAGCGACGCGGCGCGCCAGCTCGGAGGGGTCTTCCACCAGGGAGGCGGCGGCGGCGGCGCGCCTCAATGCCTCGGCCTCGTCGTCTCGCTCCGGCAGCTGCGCGAAGAGCACGGGCGGGGTGTGCCTGCTCGGCACGTGCGACGACAGCCGCCATGCACAGTGCGAGAGCGGGTTCTGTGTGTGCCCGATGTTCACGTGCGCCAGCGAGGGGGTGTGCCGCTGGGACGTCCAGGAGATTGCGCGGCAGGCCGGCCAGAACGCCAACGATGCGGTGGCGCAGATCACGTCGATCGCGGCCAAAGTTCCAGGATTGGCAGACGCTGCTGGTGGCCTGCATGATGCTTGGAATTCGGTGAGCGGCATCATTGGATCGATTACAGGACAAGTTGGCAGGTGCAGCGGCTACAACGGCCTGTGCTGGGGTCAGTGCCGAAACCAGCAGGATCTTGGCTTCACATCCACATGTACGTGGGGCACCTGCCAGTGCAAGCAGGGTTTCTGCGCCAAGGACGGAAAGTGTGAGTTCGACATCCTGGGCATGATCACTGGCGAGAACTGAAGCGCCGCGAAATACAAGAATGTATTCCCCCTCCTCCACTTCCTGCTGCTGCTGCTGCTCCTCCTCCTCCCCGAACCAGCCACGGCCGAGGAACAAGCGCTGTCGGCTCATCCTCCTGGCCAGGTGTCGCATGTGCGCCAAGATGCGATCCCACTGGACGATGTGAGTACTGGGCTGCAGGCACCCTCACCCGACGGGGAAAAAGGGGAGGAGGGACCCGTGTCCAATCCCGAAGCGCGCCGCACAGAACGGACCTCAGGCTAGCTGCTCCTTGGGCCCCCGCTCGAAGCCCTACCGGCCCAGCAACTCGCACTGGGCGCACTGGGGCCCGTACTAGGCAATACCTCCTCCTCCCCCTCCCCCTCCCCCTCCCTCCCCCTCCTCCTCCCCCTCCCCTCTCCTCCCCCTCCTCCTCCTCCTCCTCCTCCTCCTCCTCCTCCTCCTCCTCCTCCTCCTCCTCCTCCTCCTCCTCCTCCTCCTCCTCCTCCTCTATCAGTGTATCTTAGCATCCCTCCACATTCCTTCCCTCTCTGCTTGCGTCGCCCACTGGAGTCTGGACCCCTTCGAGGGGCCGGCGTCTCATCCCGACTCGTCTTGTTGCAGGTCTCGGGGCCCGGCGATGGTCCCCGGAGGCTTAAAATCAGAGGGGAACAGGAAGAAAGAGAAATCCAGCCGAAGGACCCAACCATACGCGGGAGAGAGTGCCGCAAGGCAGGTGGGACGTAGGGGGGGCAGGTCCCTATGGGGCCACGGAACGTGTGAGGGGTGTGCCGTAATGGTTGCAGAGCCGTCATGCGGATCTTGCCCTTAATGCCGTCGATGGGGCTCCCTATGGGGCCACGAAACGTGTGACAGGTGTGCCGAAATCGGTGCGGCGCCGCCATACGTCCACGAAACGTGTGAGGGGTGTGCCAAAAAAATGAGGGCGGGGCCGCCATGCGCACCCTGCTGCTGGGGCCTTCGGTGGGGCTGTCCATGGGGCGACGAAGCGTGTGCGACGTGTGCCCAAATGGGCACGCGGAGGGAAGAGGCAGGGATGGGGGATGGGAGGAGGGAGGAGGGGGAGTAGGAGGAAGGAGGACGCGGGGCACTGTCTCTTCAAAACGAGGACCCAACACCCCAGGATGGCTTGGAAAAAAACGGTGTCGTGATTTGTTCGCAGGGCGAGGAGGCTTGCTCCCCATCCGTTGCTCTCCTCTCTCCCCGCAGCCCCCCTCTTTTGTTTCCGCTCCTGCTGGCCAGGAGGGGCAGCCTGGAGCAGCCCCCAGGCCGCCGGCCTTGCAGGCGCCCCGCCCCGAGGAGGCCGAGGGAGGATCACGCGATGCCGGTTGGAGTCGGGGCAGGTAGCGCGAGCCAGCTGTGGGATTAGCACGCGTAGTCGTCACAGCATACGTGCGCGTGGTGCGGCCAGGAGCATCTGCTCGGCGTGCGTCGCGCCGCCGGCTCTGGTCCACCGCGCCTCGGCGCGGCACGCCGCGGCGGGGGCGTTCGTTAAGGGATGTGCCCAGGGGGGCTCCAGACCCTGGGAGATTCGTTACGTATGATGAGGGCGGCGGTGATCTCCATCGCCAGTCGGCGATTGGAGTTCCACCAGCTTCCAGAGCCTGGAGTCCTTACCCAATGGTTCCTTATTCAGTGCCCTCACCGTTGGCCGTTGGTCGTGATGCGCGCTGGTCGTGCCGGTAGGGCTTTCTGGCCCGCTTCAGCGTGCAGGCTCCCTCTGCATGGCCTCTCTCTCTCTCTTTCCCCCTCCCTCTCCCTCGCATTGTCGTTCCTTCCTGGCTGCGTCGGGAAAAAATGCCCTCACCGCAGCCAAGTCCTCCCCCCTGGGCCTCCGCGTCCCGAGCCGTTTCTCCCAGCCTCCTCCGCCCCGCGGAGCCCGGCGCCGCTCTCGCGAGTGGCGGCGCCGTGGCTGCTCGGCTGCGGCAGCTCGAGGGGCCAGCGCGACGCCACGTGCAAGGGCGGGGAAGCCGCGGGGGGCGTGCCGCCGCCGGTGTACTGCGGGGACATTCGGGGGTGGACAGAACCCCCAACAGTGACACGTCGATTAGTGAATTGCCCGTTTTCGGTTCTCGAGAGGGCGCCGTGGCCGTCGTTTTCCAGGCTTGCGCCCGCCAGGTTTGGGCCTCAGGTCGTTTTCACTAAACCACGTTTTACTAAAGGGGGGTCTGTCCATCCCCGAGACATGAAGCCACATCCACGCGCAGAGGAGTGCAGGGGGAGGGGGGAAGGCTTCTTAGAAGCACCCCTGCTTCTTAGAAGGCGTGGGGGCCTGCTCTACAGATGCAAGGCTGGCGGCTTCTGAGAAGCAGCCTCCTTCTAAGAGCCCTTCCCCTCTCTCCCCACCCCCCTGTGCGCGCCGCCGAGAGCCGCAGGCGATCCCCGACTGGCCCGTATGGTTGCAGCTCCTAACACACAGCTTTCCGGCAGCCTGGTGAGCTCATTTTGCACCCCGCTGGCTGGAGCTCCCGCTCTTGGGAAAAGAGGCGTCGCGCGCTGCAGCGCTTCGGCTGCCGTCCAGGTTTGCGTTTCCCGTACTTCAACCAGTTGGACAGGGCGAATAATGGGAAACGCAACCCCGGACGACTGCACCAAGGACACATTGCGCGGGAAACGCGTTTCCCATAATTCGAATTCCGAATTATGGGAAACTTGCGAAACCGCATTCGATGGGCCAGAATTGCGTTTCCCATAATTCCGAAGAAGGGGAAACGCAATTGTGTCTCATTGAATGCGTTTTTTTGATGACAATTGCGTTTCCGTTAACTCAGAATTCGGATTCTCGGAATTCCGAATTATGGGAAGCACAATTTTCTTCAAAAAATCGCACTCGATGGGCCAGAATTGCGTTTCCCATACTTCCGAATTATCGGAAACGCAACCGTGGCTCATCGAGTGCGGCTGTCCAAAGGAAACTGCGTTTCCCATAATTCTGAATTCGAATTCTCGGAATTCCGAATTATGTGAAACGCCATTTCCTTTGAAAAAACGCAAAGGGACAGAATTGCGTTTCCCATAATTCCGAAGTATGGGAAACGCAATTCTGGCCCATCGAGTGCGGTTTGTCATGGCAAAGTGCACTTCCCATAATTCGGAATTCCGAGGATTCGAATTCCGAATTATGTGAAACGCCATTTCCTTTGAAAAAACGCAAAGAGCCACAATTGCGTTTCCCATAGTTCGGAATTATGGGAAACGCAACTCTGGCCCAGCAAGTGCGGTTGTTCAAAGGAAATTGCGTTTCCCATAATTCCGAATTCCGAGATTTCGAATTCTGAACTACGGGACGCAATTTTCATCAAAAAGCTACACTCAATTGGCCAGAATTGCGTTTCCCATAATTCCGAAGTATGGGAAACGCAATTCTTGCCCATCGAGTGCGGTTTGTCATGGGAAAGTGCGCTTCCCATAATTCGGAATTCCGAAGGGTTCGAACTCTGAATTACGGGAAACACAACTATCCGCAAAAAACCACACTCAATGAGCCACAATTGCGTTTCCCACACTTCGGAATTATGGGAAACGCAATTCTGGCCCATTCGGTGCGGTTTTCCAGTGGACATTGCGTTCCCCATAATTCCGAATCCCGAGAACTCGAATTCTGAATTATGGGAAACGCAATTTTCTTCAACAGCAAAACTGGTTCAATGAGCCACAACTGCGATTCCAACAACGCCGAAATATGGGAAAGGCAATTCTGGCCCATTGAGTGCGGCTTGTCAAAAGATCTTGCGTTTCCCATACTTCGGAATTCCGAGTCGAATTCTGAACTATGGGAAACGCAATTGTCATCGAAAAACGACACCCAACGAGCCAGAACTGCGTCTCCCACAACTCATGGGAAACGCTTTTTCTGGCCCATTGAGTGCGGCTGTTCAACTGAAATTGCGGTTCCCATAGCCCGGAATTCCGAAGGTTCGAGTTCTGAACTATAAAAAAACGCATTAAAAAACAAAATACACCCAATGAGCCACAATCGCGTTTCCCACAATTCGGAATTATGGGAAACGCAATTCTGGCCCATTGGGTGCGGCTGTTCAAGGGAAAGTGCGTGTCCCACGATTCGTAATTCCGTGACTTCGAATTCGGATGTATGGAAAACACGCAATTTTCTTCTGCATCTGTATATATATAAATGATAATAATAGTAGCAATAATAATAATACTAAGTATACGAATAATAAGAATAATAATATATCCATGAGCCACAATTGCGTTTCCCATAATTCCGAATTATGAGAAACGTAATTCTGGCCCATTGAGTGCGGTTTGTGTAAAGGAAACTGCGCTTCCCATAATTCGGAACTCTGAGAATTCGAATCCTGAAGTAGGGGAAACGCAATTTGCTTAATGGTTTAGCTATCAGATAGCAATATATTGAAAATGCTTTCCCATAATTCGGAATTATGGGAAACGCAAGTCTGACCCATCGGGTGCGGTTTTTATATAGAAAACGGCGTTTCTCATAGCTCTGAATTCGAATTCTCGGAACTTCGAATTATGGGAAGCGCAATTAAAACCGCACTTGGTGGGCCAGGGTTGCGTTTACCAGAATTCCGAGTTATGGGAAACGCAACTGTGGTTCATTGAGTGTGGCTGTTTGGGAAAAGTTGCGTTTCCCATAATTGGGAATTCGAATTCTCTGAATGCCGAAGATTCTGAGTCTCAAAATTCGGATCCTGACTTTCCCTTTATATGTATATATATATATATGTACATCTATATATATATATATATGTGTGTGTGTGTGCGCATGTATCTATCTCTCTTAACATGTATATATATAGAGAGAGAGACCCATATAAACAAACAGATGGGCCAGATTTGCGTTTCCCCTGATCCGAGATTATGTGAAACGCAAACCTGGCCCATTGGGTGCGGTTTGTTGATGGAAATTGCGTTTCCCATAAGTCGAATTCCGAGTTTTGGGAAACGCGCTTCCCCAGAATTCGGCTTCGAGTTATGGGAAACGCAATTTCCCTTGCCAAACCGCACCCAATGACACAGAATTGCGCTTCCCACAATTCGGAATTATGGGAAACGCAATTCTGGCATATTCTGGCCCATTGGGTGTGATGGTTCCAGGGAAACTGCGTTTCTCATAACTCGGAATTCCGAGAATTCGAATTCTGAATTGTGGGAAACGTAATTTTCGTTAAAAAAACACACCCAATGAGCCACAGTTGCGTTTCCCAGTATTCGGAACAATGGGAAACGCAATTCTGGCACATTGAGCGTGGCCCTTCAAGGGAAATTGCGTTTCCCATAATTCTGAATTCCGAGAATTCGAATTTTGAATCAGGGGAACGTAATTGTTTTCAAACAGCCGCACCCAATGAAACACAAGTGTCTTTCCCATACTTCGGAGTTATGGGAAACGCAATTCTGGCCCATTGAGCGTGGTTGTGTTAAGGGAAATTGCATACCCCATAATTCGGAATTCCGAGAAGTCGAACCTTGAATTATGGGAGACGCAATGTGCTTCAAAAACAGCATTCAATGAGCCACACTTGCGTTTCCCATAATCACGAACTATGGGAAACGCAACTCTGGCACACGCAGTGCGGTTTTTTAATGGGAATTGCGTTTCCCAAGGTTCAGAATTGTGAGAACTCGAATTTCGAATTCCGAATTCTGGGATACGCAATTGTTCTTCAAAAAACTGCATTCAATAAGCCAGAATTGCGTTCCCCATAATTCCGAACTATGGGAAACGGAATTATGGCCCATTGGGTGCGGTTTGTCAAGGGAAATTCCGTTTCCCACAATTCGGAATTCCGAGAATTCGAATTTTGAGTTTATGGGGAACGCTATTTTCCTCAAAAAACTTTACTCAATGAGCTATGTTTGCGTTACTATAATTCGAAATTATGGGAAACGCAATCCTGGCCCATCGAGTGCGGCTTTTCAAAGGGAAATCGCGTTCCCCATAATTCGGAATTCCGAAAACTCGAATTCTGAAGCGTGGGAAACGCAATTTTCTTCCGAAAACCAGATTCGGTGGACCACAACTGCGTTTCCCGGAATTCGGATTTATGGGAAACGCAATTCTTGTCCATTGGATGCATTTCTTATAAAAGGAAATCGTGTTTCCCATAACTCGGAATTCGAATTCTCGGAACTCCGAATTATGGGAGTTGCATGCTCCGATGGGAAACTTCACCCAATGGGCCACAATCGCGTTCCTGAGAATTCCGAAGTATGGGAAACGCAAGTGTGGTTCATTGAGTGTGGTTGTTTGATGAAAGCTGCGCTTCGAGATTCGAATTCTCGGTATTCCGACT